GTGTCTAGGCAAGCTCTTCGAACATGTCGTGTTAAACCGTTTGCAACCACACATCGAAGACACGAAAGTCTTTTCACTCACCATGTTCGGTTTTCGAGCCCACCTGTCCGCGCAAAACGTCTTCATCCAACTCAAGGAACACATCCTCGACAACATCTCGCGCACCACCACGCAAGCGGTCGTGGTCCTGGACGTCAAAAGAGCGTTCGACAACGTGAGCCACTTGTTGATCCTTCAGAACTTGGCCTCTACCAACTGTGGACAGGGAACCTACCAATACGTCAGAGACTTCCTCTCGGACCGCACAGCCGCCATCGGCGTTAAATCCATCCGCACGGACGTCCTTGAGATCCCGGGAAAGGGCACCGCACAAGGCTCCGTGCTCTCACCGACTCTCTTTAATCTTGCGACGTACAAGCTCCCGGCACAGCTAGAATGTATTCCACACATCAAACATCGCCTGTACGCGGATTACCTGACCATATGGACGACCTCGGGCTCGGACGGGGACAAGCAGGCCTCGCTACAGGAAGCCATCGACTCAGTACAACAATACCTCAAGGCAGGCAACCTCGAGTGTGTCCCCGAAAAATCTCAACTGCTCCTCGTACGCTCACGCAAGCGGGAACGAAAATCCAATCCTGAAACGTCGACGGCGGACATACTTCACTTCGAGAACGGAAAACCCGTCCCCGTGGTGGAGCGCACCCGCATGCTGGGTCTTCACCTCCAGTACGACGGAGCGGCGACCAACACTATGTACCTTCTCCAACAATCTACGACCCAGATCATGCGTATGATGGGAAGGATCACAAATTGTAGGCATGGTCTTGAGGAAGCAGACCTGATCCGCATGACCCAAGCCCTTATCGTCAGCCGAATCACATACGCCGCACCATACCTGAACCTGATTGGGAGGGACGAGGAGAGACTGGACGTCATCATCCGTGAGGCGTTCAAGATCGCTCTCGGACTCCCTCTTGACGCATCCACCGATAAGTTACTCAACGCGGGACCATACAACACATACCGCGAATTGGCCGAAGCTCAACTTCGAAACCAAGCAGAGAGACTCGCGACCACATCCACAGGTCTGCACGTGCTACACTCTCTCGGATACACAGTACCGGAATTCATGAGGGAGACCGTACAGCTGCCCGTAGAAATCCGCGAGCTAATACAGACAACCCCAATTCCACGTGACATGAACCCCACGCTCCACGCGGGACGGCGTGCGGTCAGGGCGAAAGCACTTCAACGGATTTACGGCATACATAGAGAGGACGTCAGATACACAGATGCAGTAATGTACCCCGACTGGTCGATGGCAGCCGTCAGCGTCATTGGACAAGACAAGAAGACCCTCATCACAGCAGCGGTGTGTACAAAAACCCCAACAGTCGCCGAAGAGATGGCCATAGCCCTAGCAATAGTTGCGAACGGCCTCCAGCACATCACCATTCTTATCGACTCCCAAACGGCCATTCGACGTTTCAGAGCTGGTCGCATCTCATCCCAAGCTTTTCACGCTCTCTAAACGAAAGGCCCCGCCCTCCCCAAGGTAGCTCTGGTCTGTACCCCAGGTCACGAATCCGTCGAAGGAAATCGGCATGCACATGCCGTCGCCCGAGCTTGCACTATCCGGGCACCCGACGCGGTCACGGACCAATCCACCGAAGATTCCTCGCCTCTCGCAATCCCTTTCCCTGAAGTCCTGGCGTTTCAACGCAACCAACGTTTCAAATATTCACCACCTCATCACTCACTAACCCGCGAGCAGGCCACGACCTGGCGTCAGTTACAGATGACAGCATTCAAACATTTGGCACTCCTGCATAAATTTTACCCCAACAAATATCCTGACACTTGCCCACACTGCGGCAAGTACCCATCCCTCTATCATGTCACTTGGGCATGTCTCCCCAACCCCTCGCTCCCCCATTCCTCTTCCCCTTCCTACGAGACCTGGGAAGCTGCGCTGCTCAGCCCCTCCCCTGATGACCAGCAAATGCTGGTACAAAGGGCGAAGGCTGCGGCAGAGAGCACTGGAGCTCTGGATTAAGGACCCCACCTAGACCAAAAGTCTCTTGCAATCAATAAAAGTTTACTCCTCCTTGGTTCTGACTCGAGGACTGTCAGTTGACTTTAGCCTCGATGCCCCATAAAATATTTATTGCTTGATTTCGAAGTTTATAAACTTAGCAATAATTGGCCTGTGAATGCCGTATCTCCTTTGACGAATGCGGTGTCTAGTTTTATGTCACCGGCGTTTATGTTTAAACAGTCCGAAAATAAACTGCGTGCCTTACGCTCTCTCTAGAACCAGGACTTATTTACCTCTTCAGGAATTCATTTGATAAGCAGGTTACTTCTTCTCCTTTGGCTTTCGCGCCAGCACCATACAATCCATCAATTTTTGGCTGCTTTGAAGACAATTGCTGGATTTGGTTCAATTTCTCTAACCACCTCGTTTGTGCGCCTCATTTCCATTTGTACTGCCACGATTTCGCCTACCGCGCCTTCTAGTTTAGACACCCTGGTTTTTAAGTATCCGATCCCCGACGTGAGTTGGTTTAGTTTGTCCGTAGTCTCTTACTGATGCCTAGCTTTTTGAGAGGTGACAGCATTCAGTTTTTAAAGTATTTGATCAAGCTTGGTATTATTGGACCCGGGGTTGGCCTCGATGTCGCCGGAACATATCAGCAGTTGTGCAATGCAGAACGTTACTATTAGATTGTGTGCACTGGGGAGCACCTTGTGCAGAAATGAGGCAATACTTGCAAAACTCAAAGGCTCATCCTTCTTTCTCCCTGCACTAATCGAACAAAATGTACCCACACGCGCTCTGTAAGTACAGAGGTTGTCGCCCATTGTTTACACGGTACAAAAAAGACAGTACTCAGAACAGGATTTCCGGTCGACAAATGACTATATATTACAGCAATGGAGTGGGTGAGTCGGAGACACAACTCAGCTATGACGAAACGACGTGCAAAGTCAGCGTGTTAGACGTTCGACCGCAAATCGCACTTGACTCGATGTAGCCGGACGTTTTTGTAAGATCGATGTTGTTGTGGTGCTGGTTGCCCGATGAGTTCGATAGCGAAGCAGCTCGTTGCAGCCCGCCTTGCTGATAGCAATCCAGAGAGGCGATGACCCTATGTGCGGGTGACTATGACGAAGAAACGTTCAAAGTTTGCGTGTCAGACGCTCGACGAAAAAGAGGAAACAATAGTTGTTGGGTAGCAGTCAATAAGGATAACTTTTGCAGCGCGATTCTGAATGCACTTAAGAGGACTAATGGGATAAACTCGATGTAGGCTCCCAGTTGATGTTGCGTATTTAAATTCTGTCTATCATATGTTTCATATGCCAATTTTCGTAGGTGAGAGGGTGCTGCTTTTAGATTTTGTTTGATATACCGCGTACGAAATACGATATACCACGTACGAAGTTATTTTGTACCACGTACAAAATAACTTCGTGTTTTGGAGATTATTTATTAACTTCCAAAACACGAAGTTTCTTTGATGTTAATGTTGCTGTAAAAGTGGAAAGAAATCCCTAAATACCTGGCAAACTGTTGTTGCAATTGCATCGAAATATAGCATTTGTGCTAATCACATTGCAAACTTCGAATTTCCTCTCAACTCAGCGTGTGGCAAAACCCAAATGCAGAAATTTTGCTATTAACTCTCCATGTAACTGGCGATTTTTACGCATCTAGTATTGACCATCTTCAAGTTGTACGGCTGTATACCTTCATTTGGGCATAAGTACAGGACCTTGAAACAGTTTTATCTCTATTTAAAACTGCTTATTAAAAAAAAAAAAAAAGCGAAAACGCACCTTTGCATAATTTGCAAAAATATGCCATTTAACATAAGCGTTGATTGGAGATAGAAAGAAATATTTGTGTTCTAAGGTGCAAGACGATGCAAAACCTTGATTAGTGTGCGTGCAGAAAAAGAAGGCTAACGAGTAATTTATGTAATTAGATAAAATTACCACTCTTGGGTCATTCGTTCCGTTACTAAATTACCAACGCCATAAAAGCTATGTATTATAATAATAATAATAGGTTTTCCAACAAGAGGTACAGTGTTGGTGGGGGCTTTGGAAAAAAGCTGTGTGTACAGCTTGACTAGTCCTAAGCCCCCCTAAAGCAGCAGCTGCAAGCAGCGTGCACGAAAAAAAAAAGAAATACACTGAGAACACTAAACAAAAAAGAGATTGAACAGTTGGCAATGAGATATATGAAACTAAAGAAAATAAGCAGGCACTACAGCATAACGTCACTTGCCCATCGTTCAAGGCACTATAACAAAAAATACAATATTTAAGAGTAGACAAAAAATAGCACTGCCCCACATCGTTCAAGGAAAAACCAGAAAAATAGTCTACGTTAATTAATTGTACAATACACAAAACACAAGCACATTCCCCTTTACAAAAAAAAAAATACTCAGAAAATACACACAATATCATACTCATTGCAGCGAAGAGGAATGGAATTACAGAAATTTCATTAGCACCACTTGTGAATGACGCTAATCCGGAACTTCCGAAAGCGACTCTCGGGTCACTCCCATTGACGTGAGTACAGTCAAACCCGATATTGAAATGTTACTCTGTTCGGGATGTTTTGCGCCGTTATTGGCGAGGTTGCGCAACGGACCCCCTTCCGTGTTTTGTGCCTGCTAATTCTGGCGTAGAATATGTATCCGACAAATTAAACGGAGAATCGCAGTTTTAAGTGACGTCAATCACGCGATGTCTTAATTTTCCCTCTAAATCTATTGAATAACGTTTTGCGCAAAATTTAGATGGAATTTAGGGCCACGTAACGTCCACGTGACGTCGCAGTGTCACGTGATGTAGTCGCATCAACACCGCATTTAGCGGGACGTCGGCTAACTCTAAAGGCAGTAGTGTTGTGCATCAGAGTTCTCTGGAGAAACGGAAGCGAGGAAGCGGGCATTTTCTTCCCCTCTGGCCAGCGTCCGACGGGGCCTCCCGAAGGACCCCGAGGACCTCCGATCGTCCAGGGCGGCCATATCGGAAAAGCTCGTCCTCCTGGAGAAGGCACCGGAGGCCCTGGACGAGTTCTCGTGCCTGCTAGGCACTCCGCACCAAGAGTCCTGCTACGTGTTCTTGGCTCAGGTGTTCCCGTCCTTCATGCTTGCCGGAGCCGGCATGGTGGTGGCGGGACTGCTCTTGGACATCGTACAGGTGGGCTTCCCTTCTTCGCCTTTGAATGGAGGTCTCCTCACAACGAGGGTCATTTTGGTCCTAACTGTTCGATCGGGGTCGCATGTGCCGCCTTACCGATACAAGACACGAAGAGGACGGGGTGTCTTCGCCCTCCGCCCCGCTATTCTCCTCGTCATTCGGGAATGCGCATTGGCGTGTGCAACTGTATGTATGGACACTGTATGCCCATAGAATATGTGCCGCAACAACGTACATGGGCATTTGTTCTGACGACTTGGAGTGCTCACACGGATCGCTAAACACCTGCAACTTGTAGCGGCTGTCTTTTATCGTCTAAGTGCTCTGCGTTTTAGGGTAAGCACAAGGATGCTCCAGTATGATAAATCTGAACGGGGCACGTGCCAATATCAAGCATAATAAGTGTCATAATGTAAAGGGTGTCACAAAATATTGCAGGGTTTTTTTCACCGCAAAAAATAAACTAGGCATTGCTAACGCTCATTCTCCACCTAAAGCTAGTGCTAGAGGTCACAGTCAGATGCCAAAGTTTCAGCCCGATCCGATACCTTATTCAAAAGCTATAAGTGGTTATCTGAAAATTTCAATAAGAAAATGGAGCCCATTTTGCCCGTTTTCGGTTTCTGGTTCCATAGAGCCCCATGTATCCGAAAACTCCGTCGGCCGCCATTTTCCCATTGAAATTTTCAGAAAATCACTTGTAACTTTTGAATAAGGTATCGGATCGGGCTGAAACTTTGGCCTCTGGTTGTGACCTCTAGCGCTACCTTTTGGGCGTAGAATGAGCGTTCGGCGATGCCTAGTTTATTTTTGCGGTAAAACAAACCCTGTTCATTTTCTTTTTGTGCCACACTGTACTTCATAAAATGGTTCATAATATTGCATATGGTACAAAATACGATAATCAGCGAAGGAACAAATAAAATCGTAAGACATTTCTTTTTCTGTCGAAAGTTTTTACAAGTATTTCATTTCAGCCATACATTATTACAATAACGCATGAAAATATAATTCTAAAGATATAAAAAAATCCGCAGACATAAATAAATCGTGTTGAATTAACCTGAGACTGGGGTTGGAATAGGAACATCCAAACGCAAAAGGGACAATGAGCTTTGCCTGTCTTTCTGCACGTACACGAATTGTGTGTTCCTTGTACGTTTTGATGTTTCTTTTCTACCCCAGCCTCAGGTTAATTCATCATGGTTAATATTCACCAGCTTGCCTGCACCCTTACAATATTTTCTCTCTCATAAAAAAAATATTTTCGACGCCGAAATGTTTTGCAAATTATGAGAAACCAGTTTGGGAATACTATGTACCATACTGTTTTAGTAGGTTGCCGGAAGGTCTCTCGGAAATGAATCATTATGGAGCATCAAGCTTGACTTAGGAACAATGAGCGTAGGCGGGTGGTTTTTTTTCTTTTCTTCTTTAATATTAGGATGCTCAATTATTTTGTTAATTTGTTTTTGGCAAGAGGACCACATCATGATCCTGCCTGATGTCGGGCCCCGCCCAGAAGCACTCCTGTGCTTGTGCGGACCCTTTAAATATTTTGCTTAAGTCTTCCTCGAATTACTTCTCATTATTCTTGTTATGAAAAACGACGTATGTCTGACACTACATTGCAAACTTTCTTCATGTTTTGAGTCGCTCCCTCTCCTAAATCTAGCCTGTCTGCAGTAAGACCTTGGTATCTTTGAAATTGATCAATCGAGATCCAATCTTTTCAGTTGGGTAGTCGGTCTTTTATGGTGCACCAACATTCGAAAATAACTCCCCACAAAGTTGATAGATATTGAATTTTAAAGCGGTTTATTTACCACAGTGTGTTAGCATGTCCAGCGCCTAGACTTCGAACGCAAACGAGAAACAGAGGGCGATAACGACGATTATTATGTCGATGGGTAAATAAAATTACGACAAGTATTACAGGCGCGTTTTGCTTTCAATTACGGTCACGAGAAATGAGCGTCCAAGCATAAATACTGAAACCCATTGACGCGGTAAACTTGTGACAAGAAACTACTAAGACCCAGCTCATTGAAGAGATGCAGACTAAAGAGCTTGGCCTGAACGGCTGCAGCTGTTTGTAGCCTGCCGGCAGTCTCCACACTGGGAACATAAATACCTCCGCAAGGATGTTTTGAAGCCCGTGTAACTTATGCGCTTGCAGCCCAATAGAAGGTAATTTTACCCACTCGATCACTCGCGTCAAGGATGTTGCAATCTGCCTTACACCCATACACCTCTGTGCGATCCCGTTTAAGGGTGTTGTAAACAGCATAAAGGTTTTGTTCCCTGAGTTTGAATATTTACCCAAATGGGACAGGATGCATAAACCGCTTTTAATTTTTATATATTTTTTATATTTTATGCCGCAGCGCTTGCTGTGAGCGATCCTACCGCCTGCAATCTGCCACGGGCTGGAGGAAAAATCTAAAATATTGTTCCTGAAATGAATTTATACAGAGGTATCGCGGTACGTACTAGAAATACATTAATACTCCTTGTAAACAGGAATACATATTTAGTAAACTGAGCAGTTAGGTCAGTAAGAAAGTATTCAGACTGGATATCGTGTCTGGATCCTCTGGATTCGTCTGGATTTGCTCTGGTTCTACCAGAGAATAGATTTAGCAGGGACAAAAATACAGATACGGAAATACATTTTTTCCCCATACTTATTTGTGATTTTGTATGCGCCTTCAACTGCTTGAGTGCTCCCACTAGCGCATACTAACAACAAAGAAACGCGATGTTCATCACACCACATATACAACATATTTTATAATTACTTAAAAAACAAACAAAAAACATGCACTCACTGCATGTAATAGGGCCTAAAATTCGGCGTTGTAAATAAATTATCCGCAATACATTACGCGTTTTGAGGAGAGAAACTGGGTGTTCAGTGGGTTAAGGATCAGGGTTGGAGGGCGTTGTTTTATTCTATAGTCTTTCTGAAGCGGAATCACATGAACCTCTTTCATTCAGGGTAATCTCGGGACATCACCATGCTCTAGTACGATGCGAGCGCCTTTTTAAATAGTGATCTTAAAACGTCATGGTAGAATTAACTGGTTATTTGCTGGTTTGACGTGCCAGGTGTGCACTTTTAAAATGGAAAAGGGGTCACGTACAACAAAAAGCACTAAGTTAAAGAAAAAAACCTTGGTTGGCACGATGACCAATCCTCAGCGTGCTCTTTAGTGCACCATCAGCCCCTCTAAGGCAAAAAAAAAAAAAAAATAGAAGAAAAAACTTTCAGCTTTTCTACTCTGGTAAAGAAGGAAGACCAGCGAAGCTGTATTATGTTGGGAATGAAGTAATGGCCGGCCGCAAGTCGGCAAGCCAGAATGAAAAAGCTGGAAAGGTTGCCGCCACCTATGAGCGACGACGGCAACCAGACAACCGGCAACCCGGTAGTCTGGTTGCCGCCTTCGCTCATAGATGGCGGTAGCTGACCGGAGTGTTGTGTCGACATTTAATTGCTGGGGGTTGTTGAGGAACCAAGGAATACGAAGGCAATTACGCTACACAAATCGGTCGATGCGACGTTTTTCTTAACTAATCGTTCTTCAGACTAAAAAAAAAAAAAAAAAAGCACGCGCTTCCACCGCTTTTTTTTTTTTTTTTCATCTCCTGGTTGCAACATCCTCCCGAGCCTGAAGGTGACTGAGACGAATTTCAAGCAAATAAAGGTTCTGCGCGGGTCTCTTTATGAGCGTACCGTTTCGCTGTTTCACGAGGCAGGCACGAACAATTCCGTCAGTTCCGGGGTAGGTCTCCACGATTCTCCCTAGTTCCCAGAGCAGCTCGGATGCTCGGTTATTGTCCACTATGACCACGTCGTCCACTTTCAAGGAGCAAGTATTGGTGACGGCATATCGATGAGCTGACCGCAACTCCAACAGGTACTCAGACCTCCAGTGTTTCCAAAAATGTTCCATGATTATTTTTCGATACTGGAATTTGCGAGCTGTTTCCTTCTATGTCACGCATCCTGGGCGGTCGTTAGACAAGATTGTTTCTGGTAGAACTGTCAAACTTTGTCCTATTAAGAAATGTGCTGGCGTGATGACCGATGGCTCTCCTACTCCCGAGTAGAGATATGTCAGTGGTCTTGAGTTTACCATTGCTTCCACCTCTGCAAGGACAGTCGTCAGTGCTTCGAAGCACAGGCTGCTTCTGCCCAACACTTTCTTAAGTGCTGTCTTGACAGATCAGACGAGCCTCTCCAATTACCCGCCCCACCATGGAGCGGCCTCCACAATGAACTTCCAGTTAATTCTGTGTTCTGCAAAGTATGATTTGAATACTTCTTGCTCCCGTGCACCCAATGCCTTCTGGATGTCTTTTGATGCTCCCTTGAAGGCTAGTGCAATATCAGAATATATGTCCAGTGGTATGCCTCTTCTTGCTATAAAACGCCGGAATGCAAGCAAGAAAGCTTCCGCAGTGAGGCCCGTTGAGAGCTCCAGGTGAACTGCTTGAGTGGAGGCGCATGTGAAAAGTACGATATACGATGTGCTGCAGCTACCGTCGTCTCTTTTTGCGTACAGCGCCCCCGCGAGGTCGACCCCGGTTACCTCAAACGGCTTTTCCTTCTTGATATGATCTGTCGGTAGCGGAGCTTGCTCAACAGCAGCTAGCCTCGCATTCAACCGTGAACACACGAGCCAACTTTTTATTACCTTCTTGGTCCGATGCTTAGCACATATTATCCAGTACCTTTCTCGTAGGTAACACATTGTGCTTGTTACTCCCCCGTGCATAACCTTACAATGAGCGTGCATCACAATTAGCTTGACAAAGTTATGGTCGTTCCGTAATAGGACTGGATGTTTCAGATCGAGACTTTCAGTCAACCTCTGCAGCCGTCCTCCGACCCGCAGGATTTTGTTTTCGTCAAAGAAAGGATGATACTCCGCGAGTCATGCATTAACCTCCGTCGTAGTTTTCTCGCGGAACATAATATCCGTCTGAAACTTTTT